AACTGCCATGTGATTGGTTGATTAGATAATTGCATTAATGAGAAATTGAACAGGTGTTCCTAATAATCCTTTAGGTGAGTGTATATCGACAGAACACCGGCATCCCTTCAGTACCATCTGCTGAGTAAGTCCTGCATAGTTAGACTCTTAATTGCCATCTGCATCATTTTTCGCTGTATATTTCGGCATTATTCAGGTCTTGACAGATTTTTTTCAAGAAAGCTTCCAATGTTCACTATGTGCAGCGAATACGACCTCTGATAATTCCTTAAAATAAAATAAAAAACGATGGTGTAAAAAATGTTTGGGACGAACAAATAGAAACTACAAAATACGTGCACTCAACTCGAAATGCTTACTCCGGTGATTGCATTGCGTTCTATAAGTACATACAGTAGTGCACGATTAGTTTTAGTAAAAATATTGCTTATTCTAATAACCAGGGATGCACATGACTGATACGAGAGTATGCTTCACCTTTCAACGTGATACGTGCGATAATCGATTGTTGTAACAGCGCAAATGTGTACCTATTTTATGTGCATATGCATTAATATGGCAAGAAATTATCGTACATTTTAAACTTTATATGATAATTCGTACTTCATTTGGGGTTTAAATGTACGGTAATTTCTTGTCATAACAGCGCAAATGCACATGAAATACATACAAATTTGCGATGTCACAACCATCGATTGCCCGTATCGCTTTTAAACAGAGGCGATCCTAGGGTCTGTTGGGGCCCCAAGCAAAAATTCACTGGGGCTCCCCCTCTAACCAGTTTTTGTCATCATTTGTTTTGATAAACGATAATAATGCGCACGATTTGCAGGTTAATAAATTCTCTGATAAAGTTCAAAGGAATGAACGTTCAAAACGTAATTGCCACTACCGTTGTTTAAACTGTCAGCTCTCGTTCGCCATCTAGTGGCTTGGGGGCCCCAAGCAGCTGCCTGCCCTGCCTGCTGACAAGATACGCCTCTGCTTTTAAAGGTGAATGCGTACTTGCCAACCAGTTATAGATGCATCTCTGCTTATAACATCCATACCACGCTTCTTAAAAGTGTTTTTTAAGATCAGCCTTGCTATACAGCGCTACCCCAGGCCTGACCTCAAATTACACGGTTGCATTCAAGGCTTCAGGATCTCACGTAACATTACTACTGTCACGTGGTGCCGCCTCCATCTGAAAGAGGAACTTCAGTTAAGCGCTGTACTTCTGGCCTGAAGATCCACACGAGAGGAAATATACCCATAAAATCGTAATAATTCAGCTGACATCTCGGGAATACGGAGTGCCAAAGTCCGTCTGAGGTGATCGGCGTTTCATATACATGCTGTGGTCACAGCTGCTATGGCTTTCCTGCAAGGTCTCGATTCGCACATAGTTGTTGTCGGATGCGGGATTTCTGGCATCGGAGCCGCTCAGAAGCTTCTGCAGCACGGCTTCCACAATGTACGGGTACTGGAGGCCACCGGCCGCAGCGGCGGCAGGGTCAAGACGGGGCACTTGGGTGAGTTGTAATGTAATATGTGTGTCACACATGCACGCACACGTAGGACAGTGACATCTGATATATCTGAGAGTCATTTTACATTTAATTTTAAATTGCTTTTATTCATTGCTTTTATTTCTATCTCATAATAAAATAAAGTGTGTAGAGTGTTTATGGACATTGGGCATGGATATTATATATTACATTTTAACAGCTTTCCCATGTCCTGTTTAACTCTTGGCTCCAGCATAACTTTAGCTGTAAAAATAAGTGAACCAGTAACTTTAGAAATTTCAGATATGACACTACAGAACAATAAACTAGGCGTGCAAAGTTAAGTGTAGACTGTACTTTTTCCATGTTTTCATATTTTCCATATTGTTTTTAGGCAGTAATATTGTAGAGATCGGGGCCAACTGGATCCACGGTCCGTCCCAAGAAAACCCGGTGTTCCGCCTTGCCTGTCAGTACGGGCTTCTGGATAAGGAGTCCATGACTGAGGAGAACCAGGCCATTGATGTTGCGGGTCACCCACCTTTCACAGCCACCTGGCTCTCCAGCTCGGGCCGCCAGCTGGAACCGGAGCTAACAGAACCGGTCTCCATGCTCTATATGACCCTTCTAGAACAGAGCCAGGTTTTCTACAGGCAGGGCCGGGAGCCCATGCCCAGCGTGGGCGAGTTTATAAAGCGTGAAATTCGGTTGGCCCTGAGCGATGGGCGGGGCAACCCCGTGACTGCGGTGCTGAAACGGGGTGTAGTCAACACACTGCTGAAGGCTGAGTGCTGTGTCAGCGGCACTCACACCATGGACGATGTGGCTCTGGGGGCTTTCGGCATGTACAAGACACTCCCGGGTCTGGACTGCACCTTCCCAGGGTAACGCCTCCTTCTGGCTAAAAGCGCTCATGGAAGCTATCATTGCATAAATATTTAATTAGGGCAGAAAGAAAAATTATTGGTTGAGAGAGATAACCAGTTAGATTGTAGAGGAGGTGGGTCCAACCAATCTGATGTGTTGGTCTCACCTCATCTTGTTGCTTGGACTCTACAATTCGATTGGTTATCTCTCTGAACCAGTCATTTTCTGGTCTGTACTCAGAACATTTTTGAGTAAGTAAAACTCCCATGAGCGTTAATATCATAGCACAATCCTAATTAAATGTCTCCCGATTCAACACCTTGTCCTCTGCCCCCAGGCCTTGCCCTGTTAATATTCACCTGCAGTGTTTGTCATTCAGGGGCTATGAAGGCTTAATTCACCAAATGATGCAGACGTTACCGAAAGGCATGGTGTCCTACAACAAGCCAATCAGGTGCATCCACTGGAACAACTCTGATGGAAGTGCCCATCATTCCGGAAGGACCTTCCCAGTGCTGGTGGAGTGCGAGGATGGAGACACATTCCCAGCGGACCATGTGATCATCACTGTTTCACTGGGTATGGCAGCTGACCGCATACTGTCATGACGAATCACATCCCAAAAGCTGTCCTATGCAACACGTAGTTCATGGTGGATGCTGGTCTCATCCCAAGGCTACCTGAAGAAGCACCACGAGACGCTATTCAGACCCCGGCTCCCAGCCCAGAAGGCAGAGTCCATCCAGCGGATGGGGTTCGGTACCAATAACAAGATCTTTGTGGAGTTGGAGCAGCCTTTCTGGGAGCCGGACTGTGAGATCATCTTCCTTCTGTGGGAGGATGAGTCCACCCTCGCCGACATGGTGACTGATGTGAAGACGCTATGGGTGAAGAAGCTGTTTGGGTTCACCGTGCTCAGGCCAGCTGAGAGGTGAGGAGTCCATGGTCCATCATGGCTGCGGAGTATCTGCATTGTTAGATGAGAGGCTGGCACATTCGGCGATATTGAAACGCAATACAGTGAAACCAGTTTAAAACCAAATACCCTGGAGAGGCTGTTACGTCGGGAGTCACAAGCAAGCAACTCACTGGGGCATGTACAGTACTGTAGAAAAGCTTTAGACAGTCAAAAGAGCTGCTTTTAATCTGTGTAGCAAGTGTATATATGCTCAGAACAAAAAACACAAGTTAGCATTAGAACATATGCAAATTAAGAGTAACAGTAAAAACCAATCCAGAGCATTCCAGTCGTGTTCCAAGTTATTTCACTCTAACCTCCCCCTCTTTATGGCACCTCTGGGTGTATTGGACGGTTGCTGCAAATACTGGGGTGATTTTAGGAGGGGTTTTGAAATGACTCGGCTAATACACTTTGATAAACATTTCACAATCAATATCCTCAATTTAATTTCCATTTTTGGCCATTTTTTCACAAGTAATGTACAAATAATTTTAGGCTAGACTGTAATAATATAGTTTTACACAAATGTGAAGATCATTTAAACATCATTTTCTTTGACTAGGGTGGAGGGACTGAGTCTGGGACTAGTGATGTGCGTGTGGAGGCCTGCTCTCAGCACACTGGTCCAGTTCTGATGTCTTACTGAGTCAGGTGACTCCCCCTGTGACTCTCAGGTATGGACACATTCTGTGTGGCTGGATCGCCGGCCGTGAGTCCGAGCACATGGAAACTCTGTCCGAGGCAGAAGTGAAGCTCACCATCACACAGCTCATCCAGAAATTCACAGGTGACCTCCGTAAACCTGATATATATCTCTGAAATAGGATTCTTTCAGAACGGGACAGAATAGTATTGTCACAATACCAAAAATTCGATATCACTACTAAGTCATATATTTCAATTTCAATAATTTTCGCTAATTGTCCTAAATGGGGAAACACTCTCAAATGTCATTATTCTGCTTTATTTTAACCAAAAATATCTTAAATGATATTTGGGTCATTTGCAGGCGGGTCACTTAGAATTTAAGCATATCAGTCAAAAAGCAGGTTGGTCATCATTTTGTCTTTATTAATATTAAAGGTTTGAATCATGGTTGAGCTGAATTAATCTGCAAGTTCAAGTCATTTGTGAAATCAGCCCACGCATCACTGTAAAGTGTATACTTCATCTGCGGAGATGCTTTTTGATCACTGATTTCTTTCATGGGCATAACAGGGGAGTGAACTAGTTCCTGTCGGTCTTTGAATCCCTTGAAAGGGTTGGAATATTTGTCTGACCACTGTCTGGCCAGGTTTGACTAGTGTTGCCTCCCTTTGCGAAACACACTTTAACGCCGCACGTGCACAGAGGTGCTGCCGTGCTTAGGGCCTGGCCTCCCTCCAATTTATAGCCGATATATCTCTGTATTTCACTTTACACTTTAGGCTCCCTCTTTGTCAGTGATTTCAGGTGTTGCTGAAGTCGCTGCCATCTCTTCCGTGAACAAAGTGAAAAGGTCACTGCTCTTTTTGCCATTACGCTCGGTTGTTTCCCGCAACATCACCACTGTCAGCGTTGAGCTTAAAGAGACAGATCCCTTTTCGCTAGATTAAATAGTGATTCGCATAATAAAAGCATCGATTTTTTTCTAAATGCTAATACTACTTTTTTTCTCAGCACCAGTTTACCATGCAACCCTAGTACAGAATCAAAGTTGCCTGTTCCTCTCGTGGCAGGAAATCCGACCATCACTCCGAAGAGGATCGTCCGGTCCCAGTGGTTCCATGACCCATATACCTGTGGCTCCTACACTTATGTGGCCAGGGGCTGCTCGGGCCACGACATCGACACGCTGGCACAACCGCTCCCTTCAGAAGGCCCTCAGGCAAAGGTATGACCACGGGATTCAAGCCTCAGAAAAGAATCTTCAGCCCTTTCATACCCACATGACAGCGGCTGAAAATATTTTCGATTGGACTTAATGAGCTACTGGTTGATAACCTGTCACAAGCCAAATATGTATGACAGGCGTGGGTGGATTATGGCTAGTGCCAACTTTTTTGATTGTTATCCGGCGGTTCCAGTTACTTAATAAAGGCCAGAGCAGTCTTGGATATTATATCAGTTTTGGTGAATTGTGGTTTTTGGATCACCAAGGCCCTTCAGATGCCTAGGTGGGGCCTCAAATGATTTGTGCCCAGCGGCCTGTAATTTCTTAATCTGCCCATGATGAAAGAAATTGGTCATGCATGCTTGGTGTGTTCGCTGTAGTCTTTACAGGTGCTGTTTGCTGGGGAGGCAACAAACAAGTCCTTCTACTCCACGGTCCACGGGGCGCTGGAGGCTGGCTGTAGAGAAGCCCAGAGACTCGTCACCCACTACACCCCTCCTGCCTACCAAGGGCCTCTAGGGTCAAAGTTATGAGGGAATAAATTTGGCTGAACATTGTTTTAGGACATGATTAAATTTTTGTAATAATTGTTATGATGGAAATGATGGAAATGAAAGAGAGTGTCAGTGTGGTTTGATTTTGGGTTAAGTCGGCCCTGTTAATATTTACACCTTGCCTCCGTTTGGTCTCAGATTCACAAATCTTATACTTGAAATGTTAGATATCAAGTTAGTTATTAATTTTTACAGTACATTCAACTGATCATACCTTGCACACTAATCCACAAAAATAAAAATGCATTTTAAAACCTGTGCAGATCTCAATTTTTAAAGTGAATACTGTGACATTCAGACCATTGCATATTGTTTTTCTTTATGTTCATTCTTTAACTTTTGTTTGTGCATGTCTTTCCTTAAATTGTTTTCATTACCTTCGTTAATGAGTACATGTGAAGGAGACATATAAATGAGGGATGAATACATTTGCAACATTCATAGGAGCTGCATGACTAAGTTCAGAAAGAAGCCCCAGAATTTATCATGGAAAATAAAAAGCATTGGAAATATATATTGACTGCGCAAAAGTAAGAGTTTTAGAAAGTGCATCGATGGGCACGACATCATAAAAGGCTCCCGTTTTATGATGCAGCTGGAAAACCGCGACCATAGGAACCCGTTTTGCATAGGAACCATTCATCGGGTATTGGTTTCTAACCGGACTGTGCCTTGTGACAGTCTGCGAAGGCCAGGGCAGTCACGTGGGAAGGGAAGTTAAAGATGCGGTTGCAGCAGACGCTCTTGAATGCGTTGAAGTTCAGGACGGTGTTTGATTTTGGTGGTCGAGATGTCGCCCACTGGTTTCCTGGCCATATGGCCAAGGGTTAGTAACATCTTACATCATACTTTGTCCAACGAACTCTTATTCTGGCGAGAAGTTATATGATTAGTGTGATTCTTTCCAGACTGTCATTTTTAAAGCGGTCTGCACCTTACAATATAATGTTGATAAGCATCTGTTTACTTCCAAGTTAGTGCCCGTTAATCTTACAGACAGCTGCCTTAATTTCAAGTTTCCGAAGCACATTTGAGCTGTAGTGAATGTTTTCGATTTCCATTTACTGACAGGCTCGCGTGAAAATGTGTGGTATTGTGTTTTTTTCACTGAACCATCCTCTTTTTTTATAGGGCTTAAACAGATGAAAGCCAGTCTGAAAAAAGTGGATTGCATTATAGAAATCCACGACGCCAGAATATCCTTTGATATGTAATCGTGCACTTATCAGACGATTAAAATAAATGTTAGAGCGCTGTGGCAGGATTACTTTGGGAAGTAACCACTGCCTGAAAGTTATTCAGCTTTCTGTAAGCCTTTAACGTTTTCGGTATACGGAGGAAATATTACGTTATTTCAGTATTGTAAATCATTTCCTTATTGAGGTGCTAAATAGAGAAATCACTGCATATATCATGCCATTTGAACGGTGTATAGGAAGACTGGTCTTTTGCTGTTTAGCTCCGATGATATTACTGAGGCATGTGAAATGTTTTTTTTAACTGGACCACATACCGTTTTCTGGGAGAAACCCACTCTTCCAGGAAAGTCTACACATCCGTCCACATCTGCTCGTCCTAAATAAAACAGACCTTGCGGATCCCTTGAGTAAGCAGGTAGCCTATGTGTTATGATCACCCTTGTGTACATCTTCGGTTTGCCGATACGACGAAGTCACTGATGTGAGGTTTGAAGGTTCTCTCTTAAATTGCCCTCTCAGAGAACCTTAACAGGACTTGAGAAAGAGGGTGTGAAGAACGTCTTGTTCACGAACTGCCTGCGTCAGAACGATGAAGGTATTAAAAGGGTGAGCAAGCAAATTAAATGAATGCATAAATAAACACACCATCCTGACCCACCAAGTGGTGGCGCCATCTTCGACGGGCTTTAATAGACCCATGTGTTTTGTCTGTCCATATGCACACATGGATCATTCCATCCAGATAGTTCCTCTTATGACGGAAATGGTTGGGAATGCTCCCCGTTTTCACAGGGAAGAGGTGAGGTGCTCTTCTTTTTTTTTTTTTGGTGTTGCCTGTCCACAGTTATGTGTAACTTGTGTGTGGACCTCAAATGCTATTCCCAGCACTTTGTCTCATGACTAACGTCAGGGACGCCGCTGCTTTGATCTGCCATGTTTGTGGTTTTCCATTATTGTCTGCAAATCTATTTTCAGGACACTGATTACTGCGTCATGGTAATCGGGGTTCCAAATGTCGGGAAATCATCCCTCATCAATGCCCTGAGAAGAATGTATCTCAAAAAAGGTAGTCTGTTTCCATCCATCCATCTTTTATACCCCCTGTGTGAAAAGAATTACTACTTCAGTCTGGTCATATCAATGCCTGTTTGCACCTGTTTGCTTTGTCCAAGCACTGAAATGTGTGCCCTCCAGTTTATATTAAAGTGTGTTTTATTATTTTCTTCATTAAATATTTTTTATGTTCTGGTTTCAGGTGGAGCTTCTAAAGTTGGAGGTGAGCCTGGTATAACTAAGGCAGTTCTAACCAAGATTCAGGTAAAGCCCAGCAGTCTGTGTTGCCTGCAGTGGCAAATATTTACCACATGGTGGTGCTGCAGACCTCTCACCCATGGTGTCCACAGATCTGTGAAAGACCCCGAGTGTATTTACTGGACACACCTGGAGTCCTTCCCCCGAGAATCGAGAACGTAGAGACTGGAATGAAGCTGGCTCTGTGTGGTACGTGTGGCTTAAGTTGGTTGTAGTTTCTGTGGTTGATGTGGGGTTGATGCTCATAGCTGTGCCACTGTGATTTTGATGCGACCAGAATGAAAGCAGCCCTTCATGAGCTTGGGGGTCTTGTTCGCAGGGACAATCTTGGATCATTTGGTTGGTGAGGACATCATGGCGGATTACCTGCTATTTTCGCTGAACAGACTGCAGCAGTTCAGGTGACCGTCAGTCTGACTCGTGCCCCAAAACGGCGAGACGGTGGTAGGCAGCTCCGCTCATCATGACAGTGTTGCTGTGCGCAGCTACGTGGAGAAGTACAGCCTGGGGGATCCGAGCGACGACATTCAGGACGTCCTCAGGCGCATCGCGGTGAAGCTGGGCAAGACCAAGAAGGTGAAGGCGCTGACCGGAGTAGGTGAGATGGCTGCGGCAGTGGGGAGAAGGTTGGGATCGGCACAGCAGCCTCACACATGCCTCACGCGTCGTCTGCCTTCCAGGTGACGTGACAGTCATGGTTCCAAACTACAGTGCTGCTGCGTACGACTTCATCCGGGCTTTCAGGAAAGGAGAGCTTGGTCAGGTGCTGCTGGACTAAACTGGGCGGGGGGGGGGAGCAAAGGGGTCAGAGGTCAGGGGTCAGAGCCTCCTGGCCAGCAGGTGGCATCTGTTCAAGCCTAGTTGTATTGAACTGTAATATAATAATAAATGATGTATGACTGATTTAATGAATTTAGGCTGTGTGCTTCACTTGTTTGATGTCTCCTGTGTGTGTGGATCGGGGGGGAGGGGCATTGGCTCTGATGTAATGGGGTGGCTTTGATTTGTACCCAGACGTTCTGGTCTTCATCTGAAGTCTCACAGTAGCTGTTAACAACACAGCAAGTGGAGCTTCTGTAGAGAGACTGATTGTAGCGTAACCTCATGGGTACCATCTGTCCACCAGAATGCCACGTCTCTTATGGGAAATAGTCACAGAAAACTGTTGCCCAGGAAACGCATATGACCCAAAACGCCACTGTGTGTGTCACTGCTCTTGGCAGGGAAATTCTGCTCTCACTTTATAGCCATGCTTCACATGTCAACTGTGTAAGACCAAGTGATACTTGCTGTGTTGAGCTTCATCGCTTCATAATGACGACGGCCATGAGAGTATGAGGCGCAGTATTTGATAACAGTACTCTTTATTTAAACCTGTCAAAAAAGGATCTTTGACATAATGCACAAATTTGACCTGTATCAAAGGTCCAGTAACTGCGCGTTAAATGTTACAAAGTATTAGCATAGGCCAATAGCATCAGTTCAGAACACGTGTCAATGTTACGGTGTTAAGCTGCAGTGTGGAAGTCAGTCGTAAGGCAGCTTCTCTGTGCTTTGGGCTCAGTAAGAGTCCTGTGAATGTGAGCTGTTAAGCTGTATTTAAACGCACCCCTAACAAACGCCAAGCACCACGCGCTCCGAGTGTCAACACTGCTCTGGACATGGTACAATTCACAACAGTATCTAACATAGTAAAAAGATCTATTCAATATCAATAAATGCATGTATCTGAACTATAAGAAAAAGGATATAAAGATTATATATTTACTTTTGTCTATAAAGTAATTTTTACATAACATGCACTAGCTCTCTGTCTGTAGACCATGTATCACATACTACACTGCAATGCTGTTAGGACCTTCAACACAAAGCGTCTGAGGTTGGTCAGGACACCCAGAGAAGCTCTTGTTTGGCCTTGACCTACTTCAACGGGGACATTTCATGGTAAGACATTCAAAAATAACCGAAATGAATGACCCACACCCATTACAGCATATAGTGACTGGCCTAGCTGTGATTTTAATAACCGCTTCTTTTCAAACCTTGGGCAAAGATCAGGTTTGTTTCATTCTTCAAGGTGACCCCTTAGTGTGATTGATCTTCCCACATCTGCATGTTCTACTGTGGCTCTAGATCCATCCATTCACGCAATTTCCAAACTGTTTACACAACCAAGGTTTGTGGTTAAGCCTACTTTATTCTATTTATTATTTTATTTACCTTTTGTTGTATTAAAAACTTGGCAGTGATATCTGTTGTCATGTGTCATGTATTTACAAGCATACATTGCTTTTGTTCTTTATAAAGGATTATTAGCATAACTATTAATTAAAATTCTAATTTCTATCGTTTGTATGTGTACACTTGGCATATGTGAATACAAATGAAAATACTGATCCCCGAGCTGGTATTTCTTCAGTAAATGGTGTTTTCCTTGGCAAAAGGCAAGCCTATTTATCTTACTGCTCATTTCCCATTGGCTGCTAGACAAGCCTACTTCCAATGTGTACTTTCCATTGGCTGTAGGACAAGCCAGCTTCCTAGAGGTTGATTTGGATAAGAATGTTGATCGAACAAAACACTGTGACAACCAGTCCAATGGAAGACACAGGCTTCAGAGAGGCTGATGTTCTGGCGCTGTAGAAGTCGCTGTTGGTCCAGTTGCCATACTGATCGTCACCCGTGAGTGACTCTGAGCTGTCATATGGGCGGACCTGGGACGAGGCATACCAGCCCCCAGCGGCCAGCCCGACCGCCGCACCGGCTGCGGCTGCCGCCGCCACCCTCGCTTGGGACGAGCTATAGCGCCCTGTGAAGCGGGCCCGAGTTCGTGAACCGCGTGCACTGCCGCGGGCAGCACCCCGTGCTCCTCCTCTCCCTCCTTTGGAGACGACGGTGTCACAGAGGAAGGCGGACAGCAGGATCAACGTCCAGCAAGTTGCCACAGCTCTATTCATCATGGAAGATCTGTTCTATGGAAAAAGACGGGAAGCGTGTCAGTAGGTTTTATTTTTTTAATGCCAAAGTGTGTCCCGACTGGACGTGCCAACCATCTACTCAGCCTGTAGTCAGGAAAGCACAGTGGTGAAAAAACAAGTGACGATCAGCTAAGGAAAGATTTATTTGTGGGTAAGAGTATCAGTGTACATCCCTTAATTCCAAATATAAAATTAAACATTTGGACTGGAGCATACAATGTAGAATACCCTTCTCTCAAATTTCCAGGAAATAGTAAAACTTTGAAATATGTAAAAACATAACCCATTTTTAAGCTTGGAACAATGTGAACACTGTCACTGAAGTATGAATTGTCTAATTAATCAATCAATCAATTTGAAGGCAGCAAGTTAGAAAAATATAATCCTACCAATGTCACTGTCCCTCTTACTTAAGTTTCATGAACAGAATCTGGGCTGGGCCTTTCACTACATACACACAGGGGGTCCTGAGGAGAATGCAGCACTCAGGATCACAAGCTCAAACACCTTATCATAAAATGAAACTGGTGAAAAAGACACATTGAGCTTTATAATGCAAGAGACAGAATTCTACCTCTGCTCTCCACATGAGCAACAAGTGTCTCCCTTACTCTGTAAAGCATTACTGCTGCAAATGCATACGTATTGGCACTACGTCTCTTAAAGAGATACACACAGATTTCGTTTGTGGATTACATCCTCCTCCCCCTTAAAGTATAATATCCAGATAAGCATTACTCTGTATTAATGTCGGAAGACATTGAATTTGCTTATTTTTGGAGTGCAATACATTCCCCAGCTCTGTTATTTGACGACTGACAGCTACATTTTGCTGAATAAGCCGTCTCTAGATCTGAGGGGTAAGTGGGAGGTGCTCTGCTCCTATGAGGTCTTCCATTCATTTTGACCAATTCCTGGCAGAAACTCTGCACTTTTAATCTCTGGTTCATATCTGCTTCAAAGGAACATCACTTCTTCAACCTTCAAATCATCCTCTCCCCTCTTATCCATCACAAAATGTAACATGCATGGACTGAAACGGCAGGCTAGAGACCTCTCCTTCATCGAAATATGAATAATGTACCACAGACTCAAGATCCTCATTCATTGGCTGTGAAGCATGAGTCACTGGTCTCTTGTCCAACTCCAGTTCCTTCTCATCACTGATTTTTGCAAGTAAAAACCTTCAAAGCAGTAGTAGTATTCTGTGTAGGGTCCATTCTCACCCCTCCCCATCTTTCTCTCTTACCACATAAACCAGAATGTTCTCACTCCACTGCTTAAACACTATGTCGACCTCTGACTCCCATCTGTCAGCAATCCTGTGCTTTCTGTTCAGACCCAAATTTCTAGCCGACACACTCTTGGCGCTTTTCCACTGGCAACAGGAACCTGGCCGTACCCGATCCATACCACAAAGAGAGACTAGTTACAGTGTGGTTCCAGCACGGTTCCAGCTCGCTTCGGTTTTCCACTGCAGAAGGGTCAGGTCAGTAAAGGCTTTGCCAAGTTTGGAGAGCAACAGTTATGTAAAACCAAAGAGGCACTTGTTTAAAGATCACACAGTGTACAGGTACATCATGATTTAATATGTGCTAATTCTTGCTAGCATGAGTCTGAGAATTGCCATGTTATTTTAGCATCAAATAAATCTGCATTAAGAATCCATTCCATTCAGCCATCTATAGTATTGCTTTTAGTAAGAAATGTTCAAATTCCAAGTTACCAGCAATGCATCATATTGACACAGATCACCGGTTCTTACTTGTCTCTGTGCTTTTCAACCAATCAGATGGTGATGCCCCAAACAGTTTGGTTTTGTCACTCTTTCAGCCCTGCTTACTAGTCAGCTTGGGTATAAGTCAGGCTCATATCATTTACAATGGAAAAGCTCGGTTCTTAGTGACAGTGGAAAAGCTTCATCTGTCTCCTACATCAATATCTGCAGATGTGACCTTTGCATGCCAGTGTCTCTTATTCATTAATTGTCTTTTCTCTGCATTTTTGGAAGCTAGATGATTTGTCCCTGAGTCTCCTTTGGAGATCCTGAATGTAAGTGGAATTTTGCCCATCTGGACTAATGCTGAAGCAAAGATCAATCAGAAGATGAGGCTGTTTGCCTAAAATAAAAATAAAAAGGAGACACATCTGTTGCACCATCATGAGGGCAATTATAGACAATTATTTTCACCACTGTTCTTTTCCTTTGACACTCAGGGTCCCAAGAAGGTCCACATCACTCTTTCCTCATATTCTTCTAAAGTACGGGGGAAAAATCGAGAGATGCTATAACCTCATATGTTAGTGTCTGTCGTAACCTTTTCCATTGTTCGTTGGAACATAGATGAGCTTGAGACCTTGCGGCTTTTTTTGTGGAACGCCACGTACCAAATGGAGTAGTAAACACAGTTTTCGGGTGGTATGAGGGCTCTACCTTGAGCTGCTAAAAACACTTTTCAGCTCCAGAACAGTGAACCATTTCAAGACAGCCCAGGAACTCGGAACTAGGGTTTAGGTTCCTGAACTTCAATAAAAAAAGTGCCAATTCTGGCCAACTGAATAAATTCAAGGATCTCTCCTCCTAGTAGCTGATCCCTTATTCTACATTAAGTGAGAAAATGCATGACTAATGGTAGCCTGGATTTTTACCATCTAATATGTAAATATTTTTGACATTTGAATTTTATGCGAATAATGAAATTTGACTAACCTGACCTGTTAAGGCCCACCATACAATACTATTGTTGTGAATCTTGCATGATCATCTGTTATCAAAATGGTCCCCATTGGATATTTTTCCACCCCCATGCCTCCTTGGCTACTGATCACCACTGCTGTCTTTGGTTCATTGACTTACAGTTGTATTCCAGTAAACTAAGCACTGGCTTGTTCTAAGCTGACCCATACACCAAGCTAAGTTCAGCTGTACTGGAAAAATAGCACAATATGCCCCCCCCCTCCCCCCCAGTAGTCATCTTGGAGAACGGCTCTCCAGAGAAACACTGTTAGCAATCTACAGGGTGTAACTACAGCTGCCAGCCATACTGCCTACACAGAGCCTTCAGAAAGACGACTCTGACAGGAGGAGATCTCAACACCTTCACACCGCAGACTCACGGCAGTGAAGACATGGCCCCGGCGTCTTCTCAATTCTACCATACTTCCGCGCGACGTGTATTAAGAAACGTTAGCAAAAGAATAATCATGATAATAAAACGTGTCTCGTATATTTGATATAAGGCTTGGAATCATTAAAGACTACAAAATCCGTCGTTCACAGCGTAGTCGAAAATGAATTTAGGGACGCTTCCTAGAATAGAAGGCGAGGGAATGTCAGTGAAAAGGCATTACACCCGACTGGATCCACAGTGTCAAAGTACGTAGAAAGCAGAACATTATCAGTAACCTAATGAAGGTCCGAAACAGAAGGAAAAAATCGCCGGGCGCTGCGCAGGTGTCTGCCGAAACCCAAAACATCATGGAACACTGCAAATGATGCTTAAATTTTCCCTGATTTAGTTTAATTAAAAACCCCACTAACATCCCCCAATTTATCGTCATCCCTTAAAATTATAAAACGGGTCAGCAGCGATTTTGGAAAATGTTTAATTCCATATCGTGTGGAAATATCCGAATTATATCGGCGTATAATAATTATATTGGCGTCCATTGTGATTGGAATTTGACTTATAGGCTAATTCAAATATTAAACCTCCAAAGGATACGACAGTAGTAGCGGTTTGGTAAAAATCGACAATTCCAAAACACCAAAGAGATTATTAAACATAAATCCATATGTATAGGCTATATTTTTCGACAGAAGATAGATTTTTATTGATTTGCTTAATAAATGCTGCTACATAGGAAAATATGCACATCAGATACATGCTTATAAGCTTGTCCTTGTGTATTTTGCAGCCAGTTATGTATATTAATAACGAAATCGGCGTATTAGCCTTCACACCGCGATTTGCAATACGAAAGGAAGGGACGAGTAGCTTGCTTTTACCATTTCATCGCCATTTCTGCAATATGTTTGAACGGAACACGTATTTTATTCAATCAAATGGCTCATATTAAACATTTAATATGCTGCATCTACTTAGGACGTTTTATTAATTCCATAAAGAAAATAACTTAAAACACTCTACCAACCTCGATCGATGAGCCACTTCACTTGTCTTCATTTGCGTCTTGACAATAATTTTGGAGAGTCCTCTGGGATATCTAAATTGATACACCTGAACACCCCCAGACGCTCTGATGTCTTCACCGGCGCACTGGTCGGAAAAAGGGGACACTTCAAATGCCGGCGCCACCCCTCAAAACACAAATCACATGGTTTTATACTTGTTCAGCTGCTGATCAGATCAACAAGGTTTTCTGTTTCATTTTATATTTGGCAGTCCAACAGGATCCATCCCACATCTAACCTGAGAGTGCGCCCCTAATATTTCCCAGTACTTTATCAGACTAGCGCTGCTGAGGTCTGTGTTAAGCCAAATACCAACGCTAACCGGTGATCACTGATTCTGTGTTTCTGTGCTTCCGCTACCCACTTTGCCACTGTGATTCCTGCTGACAAAAAGCCTCATCATCTCTTCGTCTACGTGTCATATTTAGTCCTCACAACTTAGCACCCGTATCCTCTGCAGTGCCATTCCTTCTGATGTGCGTATGAATTTAGGTCACCCTCAATAGTCTGCTGCATATGTTCCTCTTTCGCAGTCAATTTTCTTTCTTTCTTTCTTTCTTTCTTTCTTTCTTTCTATTTTCATTTATTCCCGTACCTATACACGTTCACCAGGCTCAGCATTATGCATATTATTTAATCGATTCATGCGCACCCGTTTGTAGCACACTCGGTCTTTTTAATTTTATTATGTAATGGCAGCGACAGGGCACTCAGCTCCCTAAAACAGGTATACATTGTAAGATAAGAGAACATGACAAGGATGCACTGCAGAGCTGCACATAGGACCCTGGAAAATGATTCATTATATGTGAGGGTTTGAAGGTCCACAGCAGCAGTAGGGACATGCACTGGAGTGGCGCCGATATGGGAAAGTTTCGCAGCCTTTTATTCTCTTATGTAGTGTAAACACACACATAGCAGGTCGTTATTATAGACAACAACTTCATTGCTGAGTTGTTAAATAAATTGCACACATTACGGATGCAGTGATTCACGAAGAGAATGAGCACCTACAACTTTGAACTTTGAAGCACCTACAAGGCGGCGACACTAGGGGGCACTGTCCGCAGCGCAGCTGAGCCGCTCCGCCCCCTTCTCTTTCGTTGGTGCTGCGAGTGCAGAAAGCACGTTCGTGCGTATAATAGGGCCAAACTTGCACGGGGTCGCACAGAGCTAAACTGAATTGGGGATTGCACTTTCGTGCCGAGCCGAGCCGAGCCGAGCCGAGCTCCACTTTATTCTAGCGCTGTAAACATGGCGATGTTTTTCAGATCCGCGTCGCTCGTTGTGAGACAAGCCACTGCGCTGTCTTTGGCTGGTGCACGGCGGTATAGCACGGGTGCGTATGTTACCCCCTGGGCATTTAGGGCTTTCGGGCAATTCACAGTATTTGGGTCATGCCGTGGTTCGCTCTGCCGGTGCACAGCTCATAACGTCATGCGTTGTGATCTGTCGTGCTGACCAAAGTTACACAGAGGACAGTCCTAACACCCTTGACCTTAAAAGCAGTAGAGAATATTTTTTTTATAGCTAAACGCATATTACACTCTGTATTTTATATTGCATTGTATGTTAGTGCAAACTGTGTCTTATGATGCGTCATATGATTATATACTGTACTTATGTCTACTTCCAGGATTTATTATGGTGGACTTGTGTGTTTGTTTTGCTCACGGCACTGAATAATGTGGTTTGAGCAGTAATTATGGCAATGTGGCGGTTTATTAGCTACTGCATTATTACAGAGGCTGACATTTGACGTTTTAGGCGCTCCGTATCAGTATATCCTGGTGGAAAAGAAGGGAGAAAAGCAGGATGTGGGTTTCATCCAGCTGAACCGACCAAAGGCGCTGAACGCCCTCTGTGATGGTTTGATGAAAGAAGTGAGTCAGGCCCTAGATGCCTTTGAAGAGGACAGCCAGGTCGGGGCCATAGTCATCACAGGCAGCGAGAAGGCTTTCGCAGGTGAGGTACATCTATAGACTAGGGGTGTGCTCAACAGGTAGAGCATTGCACTAAGATGTGGGTTCAAATCCCATGGAGCATACTCAAAATGTAACCCCTCTACTGTCACTTGCTTTTGGCTAAAAGCATCAGATAAATGAGTAAATGGTGAAATCCTAGGTGTTTCCTTGAAGTACTAAAGAGTTGAGAATAGTACGAGTTGGGTAATTCTGTAGTAACTTGGTTGTGCTGTCTTTCGCATCACTTTCAGCGGGGGCAGACATTAAGGAGATGCAGAACAGGACTTTTCAGGAGTGCTACAGTGGGAACTTCCTGTCCCACTGGAACAAAGTCTCCACAGTGAAGAAACCTGTCATCGCTGCAGTGAACGGCTTCGCGGTGGGTGCGGCTCCTCCCAGTGACATTGGAGGCAGAGTTTCGGCTAACATTGTGGCTAATATTCTGTTAATGTCTCAATTTCGGGCTTATCTTGTGGAAATCTCATAAAGCCAGTTGCTGTGGAATAATTAGTGTGCTCTGCAGCTCGGGGGAGGCTGCGAACTGGCGATGATGTGTGACATCATTTATGCTGGGGAGAAGGCTCAGTTTGGACAGCCAGAAATCCTGTTGGGAACCATTCCTGGTAAAAAAAAAAAAAAACTTGTTTTTTTTTTTGATCGCAAGTTGAGATGCAGCAGTCGGTTTGGGTCACACTATTTCCCCTTACCTGCTTCCCATCGTCCTCCCAGTAACATTGGCACCTCTGCCACACTAAAAAGCACAAGATCTAAAAGAGCTTGTCATTTACTGACATAACAGTAGAATACCGGAGAGTCTGACTTGAGGAGGATGTTATCGAGCCAGATGCAAATTCCTGTGTAGCTACATCACAAGTGTGTCGGCCACAAACGGGCGATTTGCTCTTGCAGGTGCTGGTGGAACACAGAGGCTCACCAGGGCTGTTGGGAAATCCCTCGCTATGGAGATGGTGCTTACAGGAGATCGGGTCTCTGCTCAAGAAGCCAAACAGTCAGGTACTGGCGCTGGAACACTCACGTGCACACTCACGTGCACACCCACCGAGCGTCCCCCTTGAGGTTGCTGCGAGATTGAGTTTTGTTTGTCATCTCTTGTGTTTTTTGAGCAGCGTTTGACACTTTTAGTTTGACTTGTTTTTCAGGCCTTGTTAGCAAAGTGTTCCCCATCGACCAGCTGGTACCTGAAGCTATTAAGTGTGGGGAGAAGATAGCAGCCCATTCTAAGATTATCGTTGCGATGGGAAAAGAAGCCGTCAATGCAGGTCAGGGCTGGTCTTTGTCCCTTTTGGTTATCCTGATGCTCCTGCATGGTAATTGCTCTGACTTGCATGTCATTTTATAGTGTAAACATAGTTAGGAATTATGATACCTAGTCTTCCAAGGTTATTTAATTGCACTTATACAATGTGAAATACTTTCGATGTGTATTCTAATGAAAGATCCAGTACTTGTGTGGGTAATCAAGAATAGACGCAAGTAAAGATGCATCCTTGTGTGGTTGCCTGACATCTGTTGGAAAAGCATGAGGTAGTGATGTTATGTGACTGTTCGCCTTTCAGCCTTCGAGCTGACGCTGACTGAGGGAAACCGTCTGGAGAAGAGGCTGTTTCATTCCACTTTTGCCACCGTGAGTATCGTCACCTTGAGCCCCTTGTCTGCATGCTGCTCACTCACTGACTCCTGTTTGCTTCTTCTATCTCATCTCAGGATGACAGGAAGGAAGGAATGACTGCATTTGTGGAAAAGCGGAAAGCATCATTCCAGGACAAGTAGGGAAGGAGTCCTTGGTGACCTTGTTTATCCTCAATGGTCCTGAAGTGAAGTCGGAGGTCCGATGTGTACATGCCTTATGTTTGCACACAAGTACTGATGTGTTTTTCTGTCGAGTCCTTCAGCTTTGCTGTGAGGAATACAGCCAGAATTGCAATCTGTGCATAATTTACTTTTTGTTTTATTGGTAGTTTGAAAATAAAAGCATTACGCAAATCACTTCATATAGACCCCTTTATTAAGCTAAATTGCAGTATTGTACTTTCCAGTTATTAAATGTTAGAAATGTAGCAGGTTATGAAAATGCATATATGGTATTTACAGTTGGTGGAAATTTATAGGCAGTGAGTTTGGTATTAACTTTTACAAGCTGCAATGACTGATTAAAAACTCAACCAGAGCTAACCGGGATCTGATTAGATTTATAAAAGCATGGTGCTCACCACAACTTATAAAAAAGTAAATAACTTGTAGTGTGACACACGACCATGGGAGGTCACTTGTTAGGGTGACCACCTAATCCATGTCATTAGGGACACTATGAGCTACTTCAGCTTTTACGAACTACTTTAAATCTGAAAGGGTTCTGTGCTCTGCTAAAATGTTTGGTTAGTTCCTAGATTGAAAGACTCATCCAGCTGTTTCGCATTAACATTACTGACACATATGCATGATTATAGGAGACTGACCAATCAGCATACGGCAAGAACCCAGTGCTTAAGTGAAATCCTGGTCCTTTTAATTGAAATGTATGAAATGGTAGTTTACAAATCCTGTTGTAGCTCATAGTGTCCCTCCTGACATGGATTAGGTGGTCACACTATCACTTGTCTATGTATTTTAAGCAAATATAAGAAGCTGGAGATGTAAGGTGGCTGTGAAACATGGAAAAATGACCCTCCAAGGGGCAGCAAAGCATGACCAGAAGTAATTCATTCGTGATCGCAATTTAATTGACCTGGAGAACAGGACTGTAGGGTGAATATATCCTAATTTTTTTGTACTATTGATCAGATTGAACATGTAAATATGAATGTACATATAAATAAAGTGCGGTTTTTGATCATCTGATTTGTTTTGCTGATAATCTAATGTACCCCTCAAGTTTTATTTCAGATAAATCTACTGTACATCAAAGCTATACAATCGAAAAGATTTTACTTATGATGCTTTTTAGTGTGATTACAGTCAGGAATATGAATGTTGGAATATATTTTGCCCAGCCCTGAATTTTTTAGGTATTGAGTACACAAACGGTGGTTGACTGTGCTTGAGGGTTGTCGCCGATGGGTGGCAGTATTGTACAATGCTGATGTAAAATGGTTGCGCTATGGCTCTCTGCGCAAAGTATTTTGGGAGTTGAAGTTTTACGCCTCTTAGTCACGTACTGTAGAAGTTACGGTGTTCATTAACGTCAGCTGTTCTAGAAATATGTAAAGGATTTGGCAGTATATTGTATGTTCCGTTGTTTAAATTTTTCTCTTTATTAAATTTTGGGGGAAAAAATGGAGAACATAGGTTACTTATACTGTGAAACTGAATTTTGTAGGAAGTCTATTATGTATCGCCGTTAAGGGAAAATTCTCAGGCTTTTGGGAAATATTGATTCATTTAGATTCATTACAATAACATGTCAAATTCTGAAGTGTGGGACTCAATATAAACTCTCCGTGATAAGGTGCCAGTCCACAATCTTTGAAAGTACATGGACAAGTTCGTTGCACCAGTGATGTTTACAATTAATTTGATATTTGACTCTTACCATGAATTTCAACACCAGTTTGAGATCCTTTAGCGGCTCGGAAAAAGTAAAAATATATATATATATATATTGTTGATCAATAACTGTACAACAGAGCCGTTTTTTGGTGAAATAAAATATGGAAAAAAATCCTAAATTTAACTGTGGAAATAACAGCAAATGTCCAATGGATTATTCTAGCATTTTTAACGACTAACATTGATGAAAGCATGATAACTAAGACTTAGGTTTGGTACTTAAGTTTGAGATTGTTATATCTGATTTTATTGCTAGATATATGTATTATAGAATAGAATTTTATTCGTATAAGTAATTATAGAATAGAATTTTATTCGTACAAGTAATTATTATAGAAGAAAATTGAACGATTAAATCTAATTTATTGGGTTAAATTTAACCGCGTAATTTTTATGTATTGTGTCTGAAAAATGAATAATGAGGATTTTAAATGTGTGTGTGTGTGTGTGTGTGTGTGTGTACATATAAGGCTGTATTAAATTAAACTGGTTTCTTCTGAATGAGACCTGTCCTTATCAAATGTAACTTTATGACTGCCTTTTTCACCTTAAGAAAACTATTTTTTTCCGTATCACAGCCGCCAGAATTTGTCCGAAGAGGCAATGCTTCACATAGGCTATAGAATAGAATGTCTGAATTGTATAAAATATTTATAATAGCAACGTGTTGAAAAAAAATTTAAGGTGAAAATGTGTCCTGTAAATATGAAAAACGTTTCACAATTATAAAAACACTTATAATTCTCAGTAAGTCTAGGAAAACTTACAGTCCTCAAAATGAAAATTAATCTTGTTCCTAAATTTACAATAACTTTTTTTCTTCCAAATACTCTTGCTTCGAAATGCATTTAACTTCGGGGGGAAAAATCCATAACAGATTTGATTATGGAAAGAACCTTTTATTTCCACCCAATCTCTAAAGGCGCTTCTGTCTGTGATCTCAGTGTTTCTTCACACAGCGAAGCCTTATATCCTCACAAGTCCATAGCCTAATTGATTTTTATTTTCATTCAATATTCCCCAAGAGCTCGCTTTCTTCTCCGCTTCTGGAACAAAACTTTTAAAAGGCGAGGGAAAAAAGTCTTCTCACACCGAAGAGACGGCACAAAGGTTCTCAGAAAAGAACGGAGGTTTCACTTTGAAGTGTGTCCCCTGCTATCGAAAGGTCAAAATAATAAATGTAGACCCAATTGAAGCGTTCACTGGAGACAAAGGGGGCAAAACGTTACATTTTGGCAGAGGCAGCCCCTCATAGCGTGATAAACCCATTTAAAAAAGCAGAACCAAAGAGCCAACAGCATGGGTCCGCGGATAAATAAAAGATCTTTCAACTGATCAGACAGTCCTGGCTCCACCGTTCCCCTTTTCTCCCCGCGTCAGTCTCTCTCTCCCCGCCCTGCTCGCAGCTGCAGCGCCTCCACACTGCTTTTCACGGGGGCAAAATAGAAATTTCCTCTAAATTACAACCTCATCAGGAAGAGAAAAAGTCACCTTTCATTAGCAACAGCTGCACGTTTGAGGTGTTGTTCCGAGTGAGGAACTAGCTTTATTTATGCAACTTGATTTGGTTTCCCATTTTCATGCAGATCGAAGTCTTGCCGAATTAAAATGCACCCAAAGTCCGCGGTGCGTTCCTCAGCCTCCGACCCGTTGAGCCGCTACAGCTCCAAACGAAACAGGCGGCTTGGAATCGTACAAGGATTTCAAATATTTTCATAATCTCACATTCCAAGCATTAAAAATGTATCTGAACTTTACTGTTACACATCGTTCCTTTTAATGTCACCCCGCCCGCAAGTGTTAAAAAAGCTCTTTCAGGTAGGCTGTAAAATCCAAGCAGGCATTGATATTTATACTATATATATTATTAATATTTTAAACTATTAAATACAATTTAAAAAATATTTAATATAAATGTACAGAGCAGTAAAGTTACTTTACATACCTAATTTTGAGCAATTTTCATCTTGTTCATTAAACTAAATTGTATTATTGTTATTTTCATATTTTGACCTTATGGGAAAACTTGTAAGTCGGTCAGCAGCTACGCTTACAACTTATAAAAAACTATAACTATCCACATGAAAAGCGGATTTTACGGCTTATGGTTTGCAAACGCAAACTCTAAAGAAGACTAAAAAAGACAAGGCTGGTTCCCTAGCTTGGCTTATGCACTTAATTGTTAAAACACAGCAAATTTGCCGAATAAGGTTTGAAACCGCTCCCAAGCGGGTAGACAGAACGTCCTCGATTTGAACGACTTTGGTAATTTCAAAATTACGCAAACCATGTTATTCTGTTGACGTGTAATTTATGCAGCCCATTAAATAACCTTTGCTTAACTGCCAATTGCAGCACTGAACACTTCTACAATAAAATTTTGTCACTTACATAAGGCCTACTTGTAATTTATTTTTAAAATACGAACTATCATTTGGAAAAAATCCCTACTACAATATATATATATAAGTATCTACAAGTAAACATTTTCGAATACAATTATAAAACAAAAAAGGTAAATGGTAAAATGTCCGGTCTACATATGGCGGAGGAATTTAAAAAGGTTATTTAAAATAGGCCTACTTGATTGATCTATTCTCTGGACAATAGACTATTCCGCTATAGTTAAATCTAAAAGGCACGCACTTATGACATTTTGTAGCGTGAAAGCCAATTACTATGGACATGTTATGAACTTATGATCCATTACGACACGGCGAATTTGAAATGGTCATCTGCTGATGTGCCGGGCCGTGCTGCAGTACCTCCCTTTTCCGCAGGAGGGCCTCGTGCGTGTGGCAACCCTTAGAAAGCGAAAGCACGAAGCCTTTAGATCGAATGCGGGTATACCTGGTACTGGATTTGCACTGATATCGGGGCATCCCCGGGATAATTAAAATATCGCGGAAGACAGGACAGTCACACTGATCTTGAGAGGTTAACCCCGTACGCAAATCCGTGCTTCCCCACTTCCTGTCTGCCTTCTGATCTCGAAAAGCATGGTTGTCCTGAAAGGCATTCCTTCAGTGCTCTCGCCGGAGCTGTTATACACCTTGGCAAAAATGGGCCACGGCGATGAACTTGGTAAGAAAACACCATCGTTTAATTTGCAGTTTTCGAAGCGTTACACGAAAATGTTACTGTTTGCGAATATAATGTTGCGATGAAGTTGTCGGTCGCCTACGTTCCAGTTTACACGAGAGACTTTAAAATTCCGTGTTGTCTATTTACTAAATGTCACGATAAAGACGTAACGCTCTTGTACTTACAGCACAAGCAGACGAGGCTTAGGATGCATTTGTGAACGGTATTAATATACTGAGGCAAATTTCCTCTGACATATGATATTCATATTTTGATTAAAAAAAGAATGTCTTTCTGTCATCATTAACGATATGCCGGTCCTGAAGGGCCTTCGTGGCTTCATTCTCCTTACTACTAAGTTTATCGTTCGATTTTTAAACTGCTATCCACAAAAGTTTTTTGTAGTTCTGTAACGGTAAGTAAAAACAGGGAACTTCTGCACACGTCGTTTGTATGTATAATTGAATAAGATATAGTGGACGTGTTTCGTTTTATTAATTGTGCCCTTAAACCCCTCACAGTTCTCGCTGATGCCAATTTCCCGTCATCCTCAACCTGCAGACATGGTCCAGCTGAGATAAGGATGGATGGTATGTGAGAAGGAGGAAGAAGATTACACTTCCTCGTTAACCTCTGTGTAAGCTAGTCTCGAGTGCACGGGATGTAGACGTTGTCCTTTAATTTCAGGTCTGAACATTCCTGAGCTGTTAGGTGCCATACTGAAGCTCCTCCCCTTGGATACCTACGTCGAAAGTCCTGTAGGTGTTACATCTGTCCTGACATGTATGACCAGTGTGACAGGCCGATCCTGGTCACCCCCTGCTCCCTCCCCATGTGATGGTGTGCTGTGACAGGCTGCTGTCATGGACCTGGTGGACAGTGACAAGCAGAGAGGTGTGGCTGTACCTGTGTGGGAGACCTACAGCAGGCTTCTCCAGGAGGCGGGATGCCATGTGAGTCCTGTCGCTGATCTCATTGGCTGGCTTGTCCGGGGTGGTGAGCCGTGATTGGTCTGGGAATCATGGGGTTCCCTGAATTCTTCTTTGCTGTCTGTGGCATCTATCACTGCAGTTACATAATCATTTCATAGGCATTCTTTGCTGTAGTTAATGGTTCTTCACACAGTATTTGTTACACCAATAAATGTGGACTACAGCCTGTGATCAACTCAGTTCAGATAATTTATTAAGAAATATGAAGCAAATATTTATCTTTTTATTTGTAGATCTCTCTCTCTTTCTCTCTCTAGAAACCTCTAGAAAAAGTGGAGAGGTTTGCCTTTTATGAGCGGGCCAAAAATGCCTATGCCATTGTGGCAACTGGGTAAGCCCCGCCCCATGGCAGTTTGCCTGTCTGACGAGCACATGAGCCAGCCAATCATTGCTGCTGTTGCTCTCCTCGAGGCAGGGAGACCTCCCTGTACGGTAACCTGATCATTACGAAGGGCGTCCTCCCCGCGGATGAGCTGTGCTGACCGGCGTGGATCTGCTGTCGGACGGGAGGTGTGGTCCTGCTGCTGTGGGGGGCCGAAAGGGCAGAGCCCTTCAGGAGGAGATTGTGCCATTTGAGGGAAGATGGAAAATGTCAATGTTTATAAATTAAAGTGCGACGTGATTATGGATATGTCTGTTTATTATTGGAGTATGTAGAAAAATGTTTTATGATCTTTTTAATTGCATAGTTGCACACTCTTCTATTAGATAAACATGAACTTAGACGTCATTTATTCTCCCCTTATTGGTACATGTGAGTGAGATTCCCTTTGCCATTCGAGGCCTTCCCCTGCCTATGGGTGGTACAGGTGGTCTCGGTCCTCTTCTGGGTGGGTGTAGATCCTGGGCCTGGGCTCCTCTTCTTGCTTTGGCTCTGGCTGAAGTGGAGGCTTCCAGGCAGGAGGGTCACCATGGTGCAGAAGGTCTCGGTCTTCCTCTGGGTGGATGTACATGGGGAAACTGGGTTCCTCCACCAGTTTCAGAGGAACCGACTGGTGGGGAGCCTGAGCCAGCTGCTCCAGAGATGGGTGGTAGAGCTCATCTGGGTCCTCCTCAGCCAGATGGTATTTTTGGTGGCTTCCTCCTGCATTTTTCACCCCCCAGAAGGACATATCAGGATCGTCGTCTTTAAATGTCTGGGTTAGATCCTCCATGGGCTCCAGTTTCTTCATCCCCAAAGCCACCTTCTGATTCAGCCCCTTTGACCTGCATGAAAGCGACACATTCATCAGGACCCCAGGTGCCTGCTGGGCTTTCTGGGCAGGAGGTGAATGTGTGTTTCTCCTGGGCTCCTAAACTACCAAAGAAGGAGCATTTGGCCTGAAGTGTCTTAGTTATAGTAAGGAGTGACTCCTAGCCCCATGAGTGGTGTGCAAGCTGGAACGAGTACCTGAGTGTTTCCTGGAACTGGCTCTCCATGACTTTAGCCTGTGGAAACACAACAAAGACAGAGGGTTCCTGCTGTAGACCAGAGCACAGAGCTTCCCCCATGGTTACTGTAGAATTCCCATTCCCACTCTGGGCTGATGTCTCACTCCCTGGCTGGTGTTGTTTTTCCTTACTCCAACCGCTCTCCATAGTGTGCATTATGCACCATGTTTAAATCTGTACCATCTTTGGGACAGGAAAGTATCTGGTATGTGATTTACCACATTGCCTAGGTAGCGGTTGTTCTGCGATACCACTCTGAGGCATATGTATGTCTAACTGGGTGCACTGCAGGATGGCACATGTTCTAGCTGATAATCATACCCATAAATGGTTGTATAACAGCTAAGAAGTTCAGCCCAGTTGATGCTGTGATTATGGAGAACATGTACGTAGCGCGGGGATGTTGACTGAGTACACACCCATGATGGGTAAGGCTTGGCTATTCCTGCATGGAGGAGTGCGGAGATGCTGACCAGCAGGGCAACCCTGCGAGACAGAGAGAGAGAGATGGGAGGAGAGAGAGAGGAAATAGGTGTGATGAGCAAGGCTACCCTGCCATGAGGGTCTGCATCTCTTCAGTACCTGGAAGAGTGCTGATAAAGGTGGCAGTAGGAAGTAATGGCTACACATTGAATTAAAGATGCCTGCCTATTGGACACATCGAATTAAAGATGCAATGAGTACAAGATTTTTGATGAATTATAGATGCAGCGAGTACTCAGTAGTTATTCAATTAAAGATGGAGTGAGTATAAGATATTCAATGAATTAAAGATACAGAGTACTCAGTCATTGAATTAAAGATGCAGTGAGTACAGGATATATAATGAGTTAAAGATGCAGTGAGTACAGGATAATTAATGGATTGAAGATGCTGTGAATACTGGCTACTTATTGAATTTAAGATGGGGTGAGTACAAGTATTAAATTTCTGGAAGAATTTTACAATAACACACAGAACCACAACACTTTTTTTTTGCTTTTATATCTAAAAGGCTTTATAACTAGGGGTGTATCGGCGTGCCCCATTGGCACAAAGCCTGTGATCTCTGCACTTTTAGTTCAGATCCCACTCTAATTTACACTCTGATTCTTAGGATTTGAGTCTTGAGAAACTGAAGCCAGCAAGTGCCAAGAACAGCAATGGTCTCAGTTACTTATTTAAAAAATTTAAATTCATCAAAAGAGATTTAAACTCCAAGCAAATAAAGGAATTTTACATGCTGGCTTTAGTGTATTTTTACCATTTCAGTGTCTTGTTAATGAGTTCACATGTGTAATGACATTAGATAAAGTCATCTTGTAGTAAGATCTGCTGTCTCATTAAATATTTAGCAGGACATTCCTCCTCAGAGAAGCTCAGTACAGTTAAAACTCAGAGGGTCTTACCTGAGCATTGTGTTCCTCACTTGTGAGAACCTTACAGAACGCGTCTTCAGAAGTGCTGTGTGAAATATGCACAACACAGTAAAACGGACAAAGGTTAGGTGATGGTACCTGGTCTTTGTACCTTCGCAGTAAACACCCTTTAAATTCACGTCATTCGTTGGACCAAGAGGCTGTGTGGTCGGCAGACCAAGCTTTCCGCTCCAATCTGTGTGTGCCGGCAGGGGCATGGATACCTTAGCAGATTTAGGGGGCCCTGTGCTTGACAGAGGCCCTTGAGTACGTAAAACTATATGTAAAAGTTTAGCAAATATGTGTGAAACTTTGTCAGAGGGGGCAGAATTTCAGGTCCAGAAGCTACAAATCCTGACCAAGATTTTGTTTTTACCAACCAGCTGAGTATCTGTGACTGAGACTCTTTATGCTCAACAGATTGATACAAACAAAATCTTGGTCTGGATTTGTAGCTTCTGGACCTGAAATGCCCAACACTGTGCCTCTTTGTGCTACACTGTCTAATAGATGGGGGAGGGCTTTCTTAAAACAAAGACTATGAAACCATTTGCTAAAATGGCAGCTTGGGTGTCAAGTCCTCCTTCCTGTTTCCCCTCTAAGGAATTCCCAGGAGACGCCTCTCATCTTCACGCTCTCACTGTTCCTCATGGACTTTCGCCGATTCTGTCCCTCATGGCCGGCTGTATGTTGGACTTTCATTGGTTCTGTCTGCCATCAGAGCCATGGACGGGCTTCTCTTTAGACGCCCTGGCACTGTATCTGACTTTAAAAGGCCTGGGCTGACTGCATTTCCCTGCTGGAATATCTCTCCATGGCCAGCTTTACAATGGCACTTAAAATGAACTTTCCATCATAAACCCGCTTTATTGTGTAATAGTCACCAGATTATTGTTCACCATAGTCATCCTGGGAACCCAGCATTAGGACACCAGATCAGGCTATCAGTTAGGTTTCACACACTGGGTTCCAGTAGGGAAGACTTTGGACCAGTAATAAAACCACTAACACTGTGATATAAAGTCCAATATAAGCTTTCCAGTTCATTTCAGATGGGTTTGAAGCCCTCGGTCAGAACTGAGTATTGACTGGTAGAATTCATGTGTCTCATGTGTCCTGTATGAAGACCCTTACAGACTCGTAACAAGAGTGACGCATGTAATGATTGATTTGTCAGGCCGATCCTGCTGTTTCACTGTAGCCCCTTCGCTATTCCACCACTCCGAGCTGCCAGCCGCTTGCTCCAGCACGCGGTTCATGTACGGCAGTCTATCAGATCCAGGCAGACAGCTCACTCTCCCAGCACCTCAGTCCCCAGTCACCTGGAAAGTACGGAGGTCAGTGGGTATCTGGGGCAGGGTAGGGGCATGGATACCCTGGCAGATTCAGGGGGCTCAGCACTTTACCGGGGCCTTGGAATGCTTAAAATTATACATGAAATTTGGCTGGGGGTAGGGCAAGGTAACATTTAGTCATGGGGCCCTGAATTCTTAGTTACGCCCACCGTTTACTGGGGTAAGCGTTACTAGGGTAAGGAAGTGTTTCTCGGCTGAATGAATGAGGCAGGATCTGATGGAAATGCAGGTTTCCTCTGTCGTCTGTTTTGTAACTTTATACTTCTTGCTAATGTCATTATGTACCATGTCTTTGCCCTTCTGAGCTCAGCTACTGTTATAACATGATAAATATGTTTTTTATAATATGCTGTAAAAGTCCAAATGTCCATTTTTCATTGAACATTCAGAAGCTGTTGGTTTCAGTAATAGCTGCTTTGGTTAATGTTTAAACATCCTGGTGAAGAAGCGCAAGGAGTCACCCAGGAATCCATGGGGACGGCGGCAGCGGGAACGTGTGGCCGCGGCGTTTCGTGGAAAACCTTCCCAGTTATGTAGTGGGGAGGTTCACGGCTGCAATGCCATTAGTGCCATCAAAGGGAGTCTGGTTACATGTGTGGGGAGCAGGAAGCCCCCAGCATGAGGCTTTAAAAGCTGCCCCACGGTGCCTCGGGACAGAAGAGCGCAGCACTTTCATGTTTAAAGGCTCGTGCTTTGAGACGCCTCGATGCTGATGGCCTGTAAAAAGGCTGACAGGCGCACGGCAATAGGTGCCCGCCGCATCTGTTCTCCATGAGTGCGTCTGCTCAGTCCGTGTCCCAGAGTGCTCTGCTGCAGCCGTGCTGGGGTCCTGCTTTACATCCAGCCTGTTGTAGGCTGGCCTGCTCTGTTCAGTGACTGGAGGGCAGCTGCTCTGCTCACCGCACCTACATTATGAACCTACTGCAAAAACACAGACTCTGTCTGGATATATGCAGTATTTATGGATATAATCACCCATTCTGTGACATAGAATGTAAGGGAAAAATAGCATAGAATTTATTATTCTTGTATTTAAATATTTATTTATTATTTCAAGCATCATAATATTCAGTTTTATTTTGTTTGTGTACCCCTTAAATTTATGTGTGTCTCGTTTACTTCTTCGCATTCTGCGTATTGTCTTTGCACCTTATCTGTTTGGTAATATATCTATGTTCTTCTGTGTATGTATGTTCGTTGTTGCCGCTGTATGTGCCAGAATTCCCCCCTGGTTTCAATAAAGTCGATCTTATTCCATCCATCCATCCATTTTTTGTAACTGCTCATCCTATTCAGGGTCGCACGGGGTCCGGAACCTATCCCGGGTGCAAGGCAGGGAACAGCCCAGGATGGGGTGACAACCCAGCACAGCAATCCTAATCTTAATAAGTCAAGTTCCTTTTTTTCAGAAGTTATAATCCGTGTTCTAGATATTGATGATTCA